ATGCGGAGTACTCAATCGTCTGATTGTGATATGAACAATCTACTCGATATGGTCAGTATATTTTTTCTACGACCCACTAACGAAAATCTACAAATTTAAAAAATTATTTTAGGTTATTTAGACAAAATAACTAATTTTAAAATAATTTACGAAGTTGACTAATTTATAAAATAAAATTAACATGAAAAATTAATTAGTCCTCGGCCTAGATTCGATCCCGGGCTTTTCGCGTGGAAGGCAGATGCTCTGTCCTCATCTTCACCGAAACTTTCAGGACTTTAGTTTTAATACTCGTAATTAAATTAGTATCATGTAGTTTGATTAAAATTTATTTTTTTTTAAATGTGGACACAATAAAAACAAAAATGCTATTATTTATCGAGTCTACACAAAAATTTTAATGTATATTTAATATCAATAACTAAAATATATATTGACAATTAGTTTAACAGAATTGTCACTTATTTAAAAAAATTTAAATAATAGGAGTTGGGTGACCAAAATATGAACTGTGATTTGTAGATTTAATTTTGTTAAAGTGTTCTCACTACCTAAAATGGATATGAAATATATTCGTAGTTGAACGCAATAACATACTTTTTCGTTTTGTAGTATGTGCATAAATTGGCTAATATCCATGCACAGATCACAAAACGAAAAAGTATGCTATTGCCTTCAATTGAACGAATATATTTCATATCCATTCTAGGTAGTGAGAATACTGCAAAAAAAATAAATTCGCCAATCACCGTTCATATTTTGATCAACCGACTGCTATTATTTTTAAAATTTTAAATAAATGACAATTCTGTCAAACTAATTGTCAGTATATTTTTTAGTTATTGAGATTAAACATACAATAAAATAAGTTATTCTTTTGGAAAACGTTAGCATGGATGACTAAAGGGTATTGGGTTAATTAATTCTAAAAGTGTGGTCCAAATGTTATTTTTTGTAGCCAATTCTTCAAAATTATTTTGAAATATCTTTTCAATATTGAATATTAGTTCTACAAATTCATCATTTGACAGTTGCAGATTTCCAAATGTATCTGGATTGGCGTTATCATATGCCTTTAAAAAGCAATAAAAAGAAAAATCATCTAATTCAACGTGATCTTTGTTATATTTAAGACAGGTATCGCAGAGGAGTGGATCCGCAAGGCTTTTATTAAAAGGTAACCACACACATACCTGATAAAATTTTTCTGTATCAATTCGTCTCTACAATAATTTAGGGTGTTAATAATTTTATCATAAAATAAAATACAAGGTGTTCCATTTAATAAACATACATTTTAATTTGTCAGGCAAAAACGTGACACCCTGTACATCCAAAGATATTTTTAAAATATGTAGGTATTTTTCAAATCCATATAACTTTTATTTAAAACTTTCTTGCGTGTCTACAACAAAATAATGAACAATAACGCACTAATGGGATACTTTGTATAAATTATATTTTTAACAATGAAAATTTCTTATAATGTGGTACTTATCGGTTTGGGTCCTTGGGAAAACTAAAGTATGTTTTCTTGCAGGTATAACCCTTATTAAAACAGCTTTTGACTGCACAAACAGAATGATGTCTTTTTTTTTCACTCATTCTACTTATAGCTAAAGAGTCACCAAAATAATAACAGTACCTTTAACTCAAACAAAATCAACGAAATTATAGGCTCCACGAAATTATACAATCAACGAAATTATAGGCTCCACGAAATTATACAATCAACGAAATTATACGCACGACTCAACACCTTACCTAAGTACCTACGCTTCTGAACACCAAAACCGTCTTTTCCCTTCGAAGAGAGTGTTTTAGCTGTATTGTTAAGCTGTGCTAATATTATGCAATGGCCGTGTTCATCGTCGTCAAACATGTTGTAACGCTGAGTAAGCGGTGACGATGAACTGTCAACCACTGCAGCGCTTTTGAAGAAGCATAAAAGCGAAAATAAACTCGCTTGTTTGCTTTAAAAGCATAAAATTGACCTTGAACCCCTGTCAAATCCGTCTTTTGGCATTTTGTTAGGTTATGTGTTTATTTATTTATATTTTTAAGGTTTTATACCCTAATAGAGTTGATTAGTTAAGTTGTATTTTAATATAATATTGTATTTATGGAGGTACCTGTTTGAAAAAAATAAAATTAATTCCAGACGTAGATACATACACGTATGCTTAAGTTATTTCATTTGGACGTTAATGGGATTCCACTAGTAAGGAATATGGATAATATAACATACCTACATATTATATAGTTTTAGCACAGAGTTATTCAAAACAGACGAGTTTTGTTATTAAAACTGCACCGATGTTTTTTGTTGTCATGTAATGTATATAGGGCATTAAAAAATAAATAATAAAAGTATGACTTTTTATTTACAAAATAAATTAAATATAAGCAATTATATTAAAAAGGGCCCATCTTGGTTTGTTGAACCTATAAAAAAATACATCATTACTGAATACATTTCAAATAATTTTTGCTAATAAGTCGCTATATGATATATAACATTAAATTTGTATATATATTAATTTCCAATACAAAATATATCATTCCTATAAAAGAATTACTGTATGTAGTTTGTCGACAAGGTATGTATAACTCTATAATACTAGACAAATTTTATTAATACATAAAAATAATTCAGACTCAATGAATATTAGCAATGACCAAAAATGTATAACACCTAAGTACCTACATAAAAAATACTTTGTAAAAAAATAAGTAAAGCATTAGATAGGGATTATTTTAACAATTTTCAGTTTTTGTAATAAAACGTTATCTTTTCTTACCTCACAGCAAGAAGCCTGTAAATTTTAAAAAGCATAACAGCAATTTTTCATTATTTTTAATGTAGAATAACAACAGTAAGATTGTAGTAAAAGTAAAACAATAATATAATAAAAAAATGTATTAAAAATAAGTGAAATAACAGAATTTTATGTTTATTTATTAAAAATTAGAAAAGCGAAATAAAACTTGTTTAGTGGGCTGATTTTCTATATTTTAGTTTTTAAATGGGAGTGGAACTGTTGACGTGACTTGTTTATGTTATGCTTGTCTTTCAATACTGATACTTCAAATTAAGTAAGTTTTTTCACTAGCACATATTTATGCGAGATACCACTCTTTTTTGAAAAATGTTTTGAATCAGATCACGTTTTCTTTTAAAGCGGGACATTTTTGCATTCTTTGGGGACAATGGTACACATAACTTGAAAGTGGGTTTGTCTTGCCTAAAGCGGGACTTATGATGTTAGGTATGACTCAAAAATAAAAGTTTACTTCAGGTTGATTTTCATTTTTATCTCTTCCTCCTTTTTCGATTCAGTTAGTTTTGAACTGGTTTGAGACACATGCCTCAAGTTCTGGGCTGGAGTCCAGTTTAAATGATTACTAACTTCGAAGGAACTCTGTTTCCCTAAAAATAAGAAAGTCATACTTGATGTCTCTATTATTATACACTTTTATGTATCCTTGATATATGTAAAAAGATCACTTTTTGAGATGTATGTTATTAGTATCATGAGTTCCTTTACTTTAATTTATTGGTGCAGACCAGACATTTGATTAAACACAATACACAATAAATAGCATTCTCATTCTGCTCTTCAAAGTATGATCTAGTTACAGTATGTTTTTATTTGTGTGTAAAAAAAATGTATTTTACCTGTAATAAAATGACTATTACAATTTCTTTGATTGGTCTAAGTATGTAGAATTCAAGATCCATAGAGGCAATAAAAACATCATGACTTTACAACCCAAAATAATACAAGTTGTAGGTTTTTCGCCGTAAAATTGTCACAACCACTTTCAGAAGGGTACTTATATAAACTCTAATTCACTGTACAAATCAATTCAACTCAAATTTTTTAAAAAAATACTAAAGTAAACAATTCACATAACCTTCTTTGTGCCAACCAAATGTCATTCCATTTTTTGACAGATTTGATGTTGAGAAAACAAATCGTAAACAAAAATGATCGTTCAGCGTCATTCCAACCGCTTATGAAACATGTTTCCTTGCTTTTAAAACATGTTTGACGACGATGAACACGGCCAATGTCTTTCATGGATGGCGGCGTTGCCGGCTCTCGCTTATAACCGATCATCTTGTTACATTATTGTATTGTAATATTTTTTGTACCTAATGTTATTTTATCTTTATCATCCTATGAAATTGTTTGCAAATGAAATCACAATGTTTTTAATTTCGACAAAACACCATCTGTAAAACACTTTTAAAAATATTCATATAAAAAACAAATCTGTTTTTTGATAAAATTATTTTGTAGTTGCAGGAAAAATATTGCATATTATTTGTGTGAAAGTGATTTTTCTACTAGCGGTGGTGATAGGGATGTATTTATACATTTGCAAGCCCATCAATTAAATATAAAAAAATTTTAAAGTAGAAATTAATTTTACTCAAAAAAAGTACTTAACTAATATTTATAAAAAAAGAGAAATTAAAAAGTTACCTGCTTTTTCTGAATATTTGTTATTAACACCAAATATACTGGAACAACCAGTAATGGCTTGTCCTAAATGGCCAAAGGGTCGTGAATCTAGCGCAAATTTTGTCGGCCAATATCGGATTATCCGTGGCATTGTAGGAACAGACTATTTTCAATGCGAATGCATCTGACGTCCTTCTGATGATCAGATTCGCTGTTGGAACAAACATGAGTTTTTTATTAATTGCCCACTGTTAACATACCTCCGCCATTGAAACAGTTAAGCAACTTTTATTTATAACAATTTTCGGTATTGTCAAACAAAGGTAGCTGCTTCATTCCTGCATCCCGTATATGTGACTGTACTGATAATTATGTTATAATAATTATGTTTCACACTATGCAGAACTTTTTATAATGAGTTACTTCTTTGTAAAAGTTTTACATATGGTTCGAGCTTAAATTTAAATATATTTTTATAAATTACATAATTAATTTAATTTAGTAAAATCATCATGTTAATTTTTTTAGGTTTTCACATCTGAGATGATAGTTTTTCTTCGAGAACATAGAAACGGAATGTATCGAACAGATGTTTACTTCCTGAGTAAAACGTTAGCAGAACTACCATTTTTTATCATATTGCCAGTGTTGTTTACATCCGTTTGCTACTATTTAATTGGTTTAAACAGCAATGTTTACAGGTTTTTAATAACTTGTGGAATTGTTACTTTAGTAGCTAACGCTTCTTTGAGTTACGGTAAGCATTTTGGCATTAAAGGTTTATATAAGCTCAACAAAAGTAACTGTCAACAGGCATAATATCAAAGTGTATTTAGGAAAGATAGAAAAACTTATAAAGAAGGTCAAATATTAAAATGTTGTAAGGCAAAAAGCCCAATGATGTCAATAATTACGGGACAAATTAGTAAATAGTTTATTCAAAAAGAAAGCATTGATTTATCATCTTAAATATTTACATTTAAAATTTACTCATATCTACAATTTTAAATATTTTAGGTTATCTGGTATCGTGCGTTTCTAGTAACACATCGGTTGCACTTACAATTGGAGCACCAATGATAATACCGTTTTTATTATTTGGGGGTTATTTTATGAATATAAAGTAAGTGATTTGATTTTTGCTCTGTTTCTTATTCCATCTTTTTTTCCTCTTTTCTGTACACTGAGACAATGTTATTGTTTAAACAATAGCACATAAGTTCACAATTTTACACTCAGGTTTACGTCTCTTAACGTAAATTGAACACTTCATTCACGCAGTCAAAGATATGGGCTAAGTATGCATATATGCATTTCTCATAAACACACAACCAAACTTATATGGAATAATAATTTATTTTTCATAATTTTTGAGATGTATAAACATTTTTTGTTTATGAATAACACTCAGTCCTAACCAAAGACTTTTTATGACAAACAACCCACGTAGCAGTAAAAATAATTAATTAGTTGACAAAATAAACACAATGATATTTTTTTGGTTTCTGAAATGAGATTTAATTTTTTAATAGCCGAAAAACAAAAAGAAAATCGGTAATTTTAACAATCCATGTTAACACCTCTAACCCATATGCACGCTTTTATTCGCCTTGGCAAGCTTCTTATTAAATTGTCAACATTGTTTTGGTGTATGTTTTCCCATTCTGCTAATGCTGCATCAATAAGCTGTGTGACATTTCCTGCATTGTTAACCCTTCTTTTGAGCTAGTCCCACAAGTGTTCGATAGGATTTAGGTCTGGTAAATATGCAGGCTAGTCTAAAACGTTGACACCTTTCATTTTAAGACATTCTTTAGCTACTCCTGCTGGTATGTGGAGGTGCATTATCGTGCATAAAGATAAAATTATACCCAGTTGCAGCTCTCCAAAGCCTAACAATTGGGCCTAGCACTAAATCAATATACTTGTTGAATTGGTAATAATGGAGTTTTTGCTCCCAGCATAATACCTCCCCAGAACATTAGAGTTCCTTCTTCATATCTTGGGACAGATCTGGCAGCGTGGAGTCTCGCTCATCTTCCTGGAGCTCTGAGAACCAGAATTTGATTGTCATCTGATTTTAGGTCAATTGTGGTCTCATCCGAAAAAAGAATATTTTGCCAATTCTCAATTGTCCAGATTTGGTGTTGAAGACACCAATTTAGCTGGTCAGTTTCATTTTGCCTAGATATTTCTTTCCTACTGTACAACCCTCGAGCACGAAGGCTTTTTCTTAGGGTTTCAACTGAAACGTTCACACCAGTAGCTTCCAGAAATTGTCGTTGTAGCTCTGGATGAGAAACACTGCGATTTCTTCTAGCAATTTGACACACAAAGCAATTCTGTTGTTCAGTTGTCTGGGACTGTTCTTGAGAGTTTCTAGTTCCAAGTACCTTTCATGTATTTTCGTTTCAACACCCTGGGTATCACCTACTATCTATGCTATGTCTCATTGGGACATTCCTTGTTCAGTGAGAGCAATAATTCTTCCCCTTTGCACATCTGTCCAACATTGTGTTTTTTTTTTGGACCGAAATAAGCCTTATCTTAAAGTTGGATACTAAATGTTTTCCTTACAAAAAGTTTATCCAGAAATACCCAATGATTCCATATAAGTTTGGATGTGTGTATACCGATGATGTAGAGAGGTATTTGAAGATTTTAGAATGAGCCTGACCGTCAAATTAACATCAAATTTCTGTCTAGGAACCTTAACAGTCAATGTAGTGATGGTCTGAACTGTCTAGAGGAAAGGGTACTTATCTAGAACACAAGGGTGTCCGGATTCGATCTCCGGTTACGACAGGCCTTTTTTCAAATCTCCAAGTATTTGTTTTCTACTTTGAGTTTCGGGGATGGTCTTAATAATTCGTAGGGTGATTTTTGATATTTGTTTCCGAATTTTCAAATCACTAAATTGCATATAATTATAACCTAATATTTTTTTTAGTTCTATTCCTATATACTTTCGTTGGTTATCGTATCTATCATGGTTTAAATATGGAAATGAAGCTCTGATGATCAACCAATGGGAGGATGTAACTGAAATTGATTGTGGTCAGAGTACAGTGTGTCCAAGAAATGGCCATGTTGTATTGGAGTCGTATAGTTTTAATGAAGTAAGTTAACATTATGCGCAGGTGATCCTACACCATATTTACTCCTTGAGGTTGTACTTTCAATGCAATTCCATGCATTATATCTATATAGCCTTACTTAAATTGAAAAGGTACAATTTAGTAGCCGGAGCCGGTACAAATTAAGCAACCTTCCTCTCTCATGGCCATTTTTAAAAATTGTTACTTTAGGAAAGATGACCTATTCAAAATAAAAAAAGTTTCTATAGATTAGTTTAAAAATATCTATTTTTATTTTAGGAAAACTTCGCCATGGACCTCATTTCGCTCGTGGTCTTAATAATATTATTTAGGTTTCTAGCGTTTATGGCACTATTAAGAAAAACCTGTCAAAAATAAATTTACTTTTACGACAAAAAAAAAATTTTTGTAAAGTGACAAATTTTATAAATAAACATATTTTTGTACGTTTTCTTTTATTTTCTACCTTGGTGTACTTGACTAGAATATGAATATTAAACAATAATTTATTCTGGTACAATTGACATAATATGCAACGCAGAGTCCTCAAATAAATTGGAAACTTATAATTAATTCGTTAAAGTATACCTTTCTGTCCATTATCTTAATTCACAACTAAGTAGTAATTTAAAATTTAAAGAAAAATTGAAGTATACCTAATTTTGACTAATTTATGACTAACTTTTAATTGGCATTTAATTGACGATTGAAAACCCGGCTGTTAGCGACTTAAATTTTGGAAATTAACTTTGAAAATGCCAAAGTGTGTTGTGTGTTTTAAAAAGCTGTATTGATAATAAAAGGGCGATGTGTGGCGCCAATAAAGGAAACTTACTTTTATTTCGGTAAGTTGTTTAATTTTCAAAGATTCTATTGTCTATTCAAAAATAAACAGAACCAGATTTGTCATTAGTATCTACATAGTACAAGTTGAAAATTGGATAAAGGTTTTTATTGCGTAAACTGTTTACTGGGCAAGGTCGTGTTGTCTCCCATCTTGAGCAGGTAGTTTTTTTATGGGTCGAATTGTCTCCCATCATAGTTATTGTATTAGTTATTATGTAGGAATAAAAATTAAGTCGAAGAAATTATTTTTCTTTCATATTTTATTTCTTGTTTGTAAAAAAAGTATTAAACATTTAAAAAAATAAAGCAATGTTGTTGAATTTAAATAATTTCTTGATCGTAGAAAAAATAGTGTATGCAACTCTCATGTAATGGCTATTAATACCTGAGCGTTGCATATTATACTATTGCACATTTTTAATTAATTATTAAGATTGCGTATTCAATTTGACAATAAAAAATCTGATGAGTCCACACATGACTTTCCTGTCTACTTATTACAGGCTTTTTCCGGTTATTTTGTACAACCTATTGCATCACCCCTGTAAATGTTTAGCGGATGACGGATGAACTAAATATTTTTAACATCCCGGTACAGTGATGCCAGAATATATTTTTATGCCGCGCAAAATACCTTATAGGTATTTTCATACGACGCACCGTTTTTGCGTAAAAAAATAAAAACCATTTTTGTGGATGGTCAAATTTTTTTAACCTTGTACTTAGCTCAGAAATTAAAGAAGTTTGACACATGTTTATATTAATCCAAGGATTCACACCTTTAAGTATCGGCAATCAAATAATAAACACCCTGTATATTGCAGTTTTATTTAAAATTCAAATTACCCATTAAAATATACTACTAATGTAATATTTAATTAATTTATTTCTAAAACATAAATATTTAAATTAAAATTCCGGTTTAGCACATTTTAATTCAAGATAAATAAGGTATACCTATGTCATTGTATAAAGAACTAATATACAATGCCTATGTCTTTCTAGACATTTTCAATGTTTTGGACTAAAAATGGCGACCCAAATATACTCACTCCAAGTATTGAATGAAAGCAGTCACGAGGACATACCTACAAATCGATCATTGTTATTTGTTTTTGTTATCATCGTTGTGACTAATGTAATCTTAATGTTTTATTTTACAAATGCGAATCGTTAGGACTGTTAGGAGTTACAAAGGTAAGCTGTATATTTTTTTCATCTATAAGCTTCAAAATATACATTTTGCCACTAATATTTCGGCTCCTAATTCCTATTCCTAATATTTAAACCCTGCTTTGAGGTTAAGTACATTGTACAAATAAATATAATTTTAATAATTCATCAAAAAATTGTGATAAGAGTTTTACAAGTGATTGCAATGTACCTACTTAGATAATTTATATTTTCTTTTTCTTTACCATTATTTTTAACAATATTGTTTTTAATATTTTTATTGAAATATACACTATTGCGCCATCTATGAACCGTTATACTAACCAAATAAAGCATCCATAGATTAAGTTTCATTAGTATTTCATCATCTGTGATAGGTGTCGCTCGCTACTGGAACCTATATCAAGTAAAAAGTAAACGTTAGATGGAGCTTTGATACCTACTCCTTAAAATATAAAATTATTCTAATTTTAAAATTAAATGATCTGCATTTTCCCAATAAATTATTATTGAAATACAAAACATTAGGGGAGCGAGAAGTAACTACACAAAAGTAAATTATAATTGTTTTAAAAAAAACTATAAAACGTTACAGCAAATTACCATTATTGCAAAGAAGGGTAGCAAAATCGAGATTAGTCGATACTTTCGACAGGGCCGGATTTAGCCCCAATGGGGCGCCTGGTTTTGATAATAATTGATACCCGAGAGAACCGAAAAACAAAAAAGAAGATAACGACCTGAATTTAGTTTACAATGGTTTTGTTTTAAATAATTAACTTGAAAATTTTAGAAAAAATCAAGCTCTATAATAAGGGACGAAACCAATTAATTTTGAAAAAATCTGAATAAAAATGGGTGGGTTGAAATCAAAAACAAAAGGTTATAAAAGTAATTTTAAAAAACCGACTCCAAAATCGTCAGATGCCCTTGATTTTCTTATAGATCATTGTATAGGGAACATACCGCTAAAGCAGATGTCCCCTATCTAACAAAAAAATAATCATAGAAATCAGACATGGTAAAAAGAATTATCGCTGAAAATACTTAAAAAATAAAGAATTTGATGATTTTCTTACGCACCCATTATTAGATATTAATTAAATTTATATAGGACTACCCCTGAGCAGAGACAACCCAGCGAGACGTGTAACTAAATGTATTTTTTTTTGTTCGTCAAAAGTTGTTTGGGCGATTGTAATAGCAACCAGTCTATGATGGCGCCACTAGTCAATTTTCTTCTTTTCTTACTGCTGTGCGTATCCAGTCATATAGCGGAAAAATTTAAAAATGTATGGCGGGAAATTCAAACATGGATTCAGAAATAGTTTCTCTATACTTTAGAGGAGGAACAAAAACTATTGTTTCACTATATATTAAAATATGTAATAACATTAAATTTTGTATCATAGTTTAATATATGCAGTGAACATAGTTTTTATTAATCTTGTAAAATTCACTATTTTTTATAAATTGTATTTTCCTTAGGTACAGAAAAACAAAACAAGTGCTACGTTTACAAATTACCTCGTCTTACTCTTTTTACTTCATGCCGTTCTTTTAGTACATCTACTTCTTCTCTACAGAACTTTAGGAGTTGATAATCATTTTGTGACAAATTACAAAGAAATGAAGTCACAATTATTATTTAGTTGAAAAGTATTACAAAACCAAGAAAAATAGAAAAAAGATGATATATATTCATAATATAAAATGTAACAAATATTTTATAAAGTATAGATTATGATTGTTTATTTTAATCAAAACCACGGAAACGAAATAAACACACACACACACACTTACATAGATGTATAAGGTCTGAGTAGGGTAAGTTCACATCCTGTAAACTGGATCGAAACCTGCTAGATCCAATTCGTCCACCCCCTGCTCTTAGGGTCATCAAGATCAATAGATTTATATGCCATGCCTTCTAAAAGGGAATGATTATGACATATTACCATCATTTAAACAGGACGTTGCTGAAGACTAGCCCCTGTTATGTCGTCTGTTTCTATCTTGTGCATGTGCATTCCTGTTGTGTTCCCAGTCTTGTGAAAGTTATCCTAGTCTCCTAATTTGGTAACTAGATGGACCTTCTCCAACTAGTCCTCTCTTATACAAAACCAATTTAAGATAGCCTTTTTTTCTTTATCCAAGCACTGTTTGCTCTATAGGCACATGACTAAAAATCTATTCGATCTGCTCTGCAGCAGGCGGTAATTTTCAAACATAGCAATTAATAACACTGCACAACAGCAACAGTTATTATCGGTCTTACCACCATGTTATAAAGCCAATATACCATGTCCGGTTTTAACCCTCATTTTTTTTCAAAGGATCGCCTTGCCATCATTAAGGTTTCCGCTCTCCTTGTGGTTCTTTCTAGATGCTGGTTCCAGGTAAGTCTCGAGTCAATAATAACCCCGAGATATTTTACCTCCCCCTTGCTTGCACCTCTTAGGTTTAGAAGCCCTAGTCCCTCCAATTTCCTCCTGCGGGTGAATGCAATTATGTCAGATTTGTTTGGGCTAATGTTCAGTCCTTCCACCTCTGTCCATTTTGTTACTATATTTAAAGCCTCTTGCCCGGTGATTTATATGGTTCGAATGAGCTAATTGCCCATTTCAGTTTATCGTAGTTCACCACTTGTTTGGCTATCCTCCAATCTTCCCTGTTGGCTCTATTATGAGCTTCCAGTCCGTTTAGATTCCGGTTAGCCGATGTGTGTGCTATGGTTTATTTACCAGGGAAGTGAACGCTGAAGAGTTCCCTTACTGTTTCCTTCCCTGTGATTGTGCCCCAATTCATTCTTAAGGGTGTTTATTGTGTGTCTTTTGAGTGAATTTTTTGGAGCCTGGGTTTATCACGAACTAAATCTTTCTGAAAAGGCCAATCCTTTTTAACCCAATGTTGATTTGTAGCTCTACTATCCCACAAGCAAAGAATACAAGGATACTTTGTGTAACCAACTTGCTGGCCTAATAGAAAGTTAACCATTTTTAAATCAACACATATGATCCATTTATTTTCCACATATTTAATTTTGTTCCAAACCAGATCAATAGTTGTATATTCTTCTTTTACTTTTGTAAAATGTGCAATAGACAATGACCCTAATTTATTCCCATTGTATAAGAGAACACATTTTAGACTCCGTTTTGACGAGTCTATGAATAAACGTCACTCACTAGAAACATAATTTTGTAATCCCATTGCAGCCATCAATCCAGGTACATCTTTACAAAATACGAAATTGTCTTCTTCAGCAAAATATTTGAGGAAATTCTGTTCTCTTGTGTGGTAATAAGTTTCGTTACAATTTTTTTTCTTTTAGCCTTGAAGCCAAAATTTCTGAAGCTGACTTTGACAGTCCCAGGTCTCTAATTAAGTCGTTTAAATTATCTTAATTGAATTGTTTTGGCGTTCCCAGGTCGCATTCAAAGTCATTATCACTAATGTCGTTTTTCGTCTCAAAATCTTCTGGCTCTTCCTGTAAAGTACCAGATTGAGGTTCAGGTGTAGACTTAGGGGCTCAGGACATGTCTATGTGCCAATTGTATGGAATGATATTCCCATTTGGCTCGATATTTTCGGTTAATACCAGTTATGTTCACCAAACAAAAATAACAACCGTCTTGGTGGTTCATGGGTTCATTCCAAATCATAGCGGTTTTGTACCTGAAGCTGTCTTTTCTTATTTGTCCATAAACGTAGAAACTGCATGTTTTGCATACCTTTTACAGAATCCCAGGCTTATTATTCATTTCCAGCGGGTGCCCAAAGTGTCAAAACACTCAAATTAAAATTGTAATTAGGAAATAGAAATAAAACATGTAAGTAGCGATGCTACCAATAAAAAAATTTGTACACCTGACTCGAAAAAATTGTTAAGAAAAGAAAAAATAAAGACAGAAGAGAAAAAAGCAAAAATTGAAAAAAAAAAAAAAAAACAAAAAAAACAAAAATAAAAAAATAAACAAAACATTTAAACCTTATTAAGTTCAGGTTATTTTTAGTTATTAAGGTAGAGCAACTTTAATATAATTTGTAAAATAATAAAGTTTGTTATATGATATTTTTATTTGTTCACCTGACAATTGACTGGCCTGTTGGTTTATATCCAGTGCCACTAACTTAAAAAAAAAATGCCATATAAATTACAAAATAAAACAATAATTCAAACAAGAAAGATAATTTCACTATTGTCTTACTAAACCTTCCCCTAAAATACCAACGGATCATTTCTTAAGAATTCTGAAATTGGGTTTTACCGGTCATTAAAGAGAGGTACTTTTACCTTTATAAATATGTTCTAAGAAACTACAGGAGGTGTCCGCGGTCGTACAACAGAGGGGTCGTTAAAGAGGATTATAAATTAATGGTATTTCCAAATAAAATTAAACATGTATAATAATAATTATTATTAAACTGCAAATAAACACTATAATACAGCGAATTTTTAGTGGAAGCTATAACTCGTAAACAAGAGCTGTCAGAAAAACAGTGGGGGTATATTTAGAATCAGCGATTTAAAATTAGTAAACATCATGTGACATAAGTCATTCATCAGTCAAAAAGTGTAATTTTGTTGGCCAGTGTAATCGGTCCTCTCACTGCGATTTAGAGATGAAGTGATGTCTTCACAACGAATACACTTTTATGAATGGCTAGTTGAGGATGTGAGTTTTCTACTTACCGATATCATCTGAAAAATTAGGTACTTCCTCAAACCTCTAATCGAGGCAGGAGGCAGAGGCAAGGGACCGCGTAAAGCGACCGAAATTCGTCTCTTTACGAATAACATAAAATTAAATGAAGAACATTTGGGACAACGCGACCGATTCAAGAGACTGCGACAGCATTTTCAACGCGAAACGTAAGTGCATAGGTCGTGTGTTCCTGTTGCTTGCATCGCTCTTGCGTTCCCAAATTGTACCTTCTACTGTTTTAATAATTTTAGTCCTTCGCTTTTAATTTTTTTTAATTCAATCACACTTAAGAATACAAGATATAAATACCTAAAATTAAGTAGACAATTTATATGGGTACTTACAATTTTATTGTGCGTTGGGATATTAAAATAGCTGATGTTAATCTAAAAAGTAAATATTTTGTGTTATTATATAAATAAATCATAAATAACCTCATTTTGCATCAGTTCAACGTTTTTCTTCTTTCCAACAGGTATCAAATTATTACTAACAACAGAAAAGCAACCAAAAGAAGATGATGTTGAAAATTGTAGTGTTTTCTGTGTTACTATGGACAATAGAATGTTCTAGAATATTGGGAATTTTTCCCACGCCGGATGTCAATCATTTTTTGTTGGGATCGCAACTAATAGAAGCTCTAGCTAAGAATGGCCATCAAGTTACTATGGTCAGTCCGTTTACACCGGAATGGCGTAATGAAAATTTGACCAGTGTTGAAATCAAGCAAGAAATGGAATTAGAAACAGGTAAATGTAAGTTTAAGGTATAAACATCTGCAAAATGTTTACGAACATATATTTTTTAAATATAAGTATTAATAGATAGGAGCAACCTCCTGAAGGCTTAAGAAGTCCAACACTATCTATATGAATAAGTTAGAACCTTTTAGGATTAAAAATTTTGTATATTTATAAATTTTTGCTTTTTGGCAATTTATACGAAATTTTGACCATAAGTACATGTGTTTACTCATTCTTGACCAAAAATATCTATTTTTTATCAATTTTAAAGTACTCTTACCTCCTGTATGTTCCACGTTATATACCTTATTAAAAATACTATAACGATGTGACTTGGGAATGTGAGGTTTTAAAATATAATTTGAACTTTTTGTAAGTGAAATTTGTTTCTATTATTGTGATTTTGTTTCCCTAATAAGCCTTTTATTTCTAAATCTAATTTTTGTTCATCTTTTATTATTTTTAAATATAATTCTGATTCTATTTTTTCTATTGAGTTAAGGTTTAATTCCATTCTGATTAAAAAATCTGCGACTATTACACTTTTACTACCTACGTAAAAAACTTTATTAGTAAATTGTAAAATAAATTCTATGTCTGAATTGTCTAGGAGATTTATCCGTTCTGGAAAGGATTGCTTTTTCTAATGATTTATGATCACAAAAAAACTTTAAAATGTTTTTATTCTAACATATATCTAAAATGTTTGATTGAAAAATAAATTGCATATAATTCTTTTTCAAAAACGCTATAATTAAATTGAGATTTTGATAATTACTTTGAGAAAAAGGCGATGGGTTGTCTAACTCCCCCCCTTTTTTTTTGAAATGTATTAGTTTTTAAAAAGTACAAATTGGGATATAGTGTATTTTAGCACTATTAATTGCTAGATATCCGATAGGTTCTTTTTACTGAAATAATACTGTCGTGATACCATTTTAGCAACTTTTGTTGTTTTCTACCGGGACGTCTCGTTGTCCTAGGTAGAAAACTATGGTCCTTTAGCATATATGTGTAGGCGATCGGGTCCTTTATCCTGTGGACATCTGTCCCTTTAGCACATATATGTGAGCAGTCCTATGCAGAATGCTAAGTGCATGTGTGATATGCATTACGTTTTTGTCGTAGGTTTGTGTTATTTGTTGTAGGATTAGGAAAAAAATGATTTGTTTTTGGAAAAAGTGTGCTTGGTTAAATTTAGAGTCTGGCAGCCAGTAGAAAGATTAAACTCATCCCCGTTTAATAAATGCATCTGATTATCTCTTCTTGCACTACTTCTTCTGCAGCAACTGTAGGGCCATATATGCTGCTTCAGGATTTGAAGGGGTCACTATTGTGTGCCCATTAGTTAAGTTGCTTCTGCAGCTTTTAAGATTGATTCTATTCTGCTTCTGTTATTGGTTTGCTTCAGATGGGCGTTTCTTTCGGGGTCACCAATGTGGGGTCTCAAGTTTTGGTTCGTAGACCCCATCAATAAATTTAAATAAAAATTATTTTAATAAATGTATATGTAAGAGTAAAAATGTAGTAAGCAAAAACCTTAGAACATATGGTAAAAACCGATATTACCAATGGGGTTAATTTAATCCTTCAGCAGAGCTGCCACTTAAAGCAAGGATATTTAAAGGTGCTAGTGCATATATTATGACGCATGTATTGGCAATATCGGTTGCCCAGCAGTATAATATTTATATACATTGTCATATACTTTTTTACTTGTCACGATATTATCCAAGAATAACGATCAAGGAGAAGCGACAGTTGTTGTCGGTGCCTTTGATATCGGATGTACTTTTTTCACAGCATGACTTTGATTGATACACAACTTAGCACGCTGAGAAAACATGCTTATTTTCTACACTGAGCGAAATAGTTTGGCACATTATCTGAAATCATTGTTATAGTCTATGCGCAAATGTTGTACTATGATTTAATTACATTGAAGTAGTTAGGGTTAATAGCAATGGTGAAATTTCGGCACCAAAATATAATTCGTTATGTAATAATTAATTATTTATTATAAAAGTTAAAGACGTTTATTATTTTATAATTTATCTATAAAATTTGTTCAATATTTGGTTTATTTATTGTTAAAAATGTAATAAAAGCCCCATATTTAAATTAAATTACCTTTTTCTTAAGTAAAAATAAGGTTAATAAAATTAAGGGTGCCAAAAAAAATTTAGGTAACAATTAAAAAGACATTAAGTTTGAGATATTTAACTAAATATTTGCAATGTGCTTATATTTTCAAAAACTTTTAGGTTTAAAAAGTACTTACATATTTTAGAATTTTTGGATTTATATTATAATAAAAGGATTTTCAAGTTTCACTCATTTCTGTATAAACAAGTGTTTTCTCGCCAAGTCAAGCCAGCTGTCATTTAAGGTTTATGTATTTAGAGTTAAATACCTGGCCTGGCTATCACCCAGACAATACAAATATGTCCATTGGACGTCCATTTGATATACAATTTTGTATGTCTAGACGTCCAAGAATGAGTTTTTTTCTGGACTTCCGACACTCAATAGACGTCCAGTGAAGTATACAAATGGCACACTTTTGACCATTCAGAGGACGTTCAATTCTGGAATATATTTGAACGTCGAATACTGAACATTCAAAAAACGTCCAGGATTATATTTCCATTGAGACCACATCCCACCTTTTTTACAGAACCGCAACTTACCACACACTATTTTATATTATTAATAATTTGTTTATTATTTTCGCAAACCACTATACACCATTTACTTTTTTTATTAAAAATCGCTTGACCTGAGCAGGCATCGAACTCACGACACATCCATTATCGTTTTACCCTTTCAATCGCTAGACGAGCTCGATCAAGGAACCACTTGAAAACTTTTTACTTGATACATTTATAATTGAATAAGATTTCAAACTTCCGCTGATAGAATGAAATGCAATAGATTCAATTTGTCAATTTTTAATGACCAGTTATATTAAAAAAAGAAGTATATATTATAGATGAGTATTATCTGGTAGGCTTAATAAATAATGACTTAAGATGGACGTCCACTGGACGTCAAAATACTACTAAACTTAAAATTAAGTCCAAAAACAGATGTTCTCTTGGTATCAATATTCAGCTGTCAATTTAATTAGCATAAACGGACGTACACTGGATGCCCGGATATGGACGTCGTGACCCCCAAATAGATCTAAAGTGGACGTACATTGGACTATGTGTGCTGTCTGGGCATAGACGAATTTTTTGAAATAGTACTTATTTAAGTATGCACCAATATTTCCAAAATCAACTCCAGTATGATTTATTCAATAAATGTAAATATGAATGGGCAAAACATCTTTATATTGACATAATTGTACCTTACAATTTAGCCATAATAAAGGGATTTCGCCCATTTTCACCAATCCTAATTGAAACACGCGGATTTATTATATTTTTTTAAATATAATTTCCAAATAAAATAAACAAAATCTCCAGTTCATTGTTTATTAAATTTATTTAGAAGAAGAAAACATATATTTCACAAAATACAATACCTACATATGAAAAATAAAATGTCAAAAATGATAAAATTATTATACTTAATATTTATGCATGTGATAAAATTCTTAGTTTCCTAGTAACTTTTTTGGCACATTGTATATGTGCATTAGAATACCTAAGTGTGTAAAAATCTTCATCTTATTACTACACAAAACAAACACCAAAAAATACCACTTAACTAAACCACAGTTTATAGCTAAAGAATCAGTTCGCTCACTCTGCGTCGGCACTTTTGATCTCAGTGTTCCAATTTATACATTGCGCAACTCAGATTTGTATCCCTGGCGCATAAAGAATCAAAATCATAATAGCCCAAGAGCCTACTGTAAATTTTTACCGCCATCTGATAATGAAATAAAATATACCCCAAAAGCTTGTAAAAACATTGTACTTTACCGAATGGCACCTGTGACAATCCCAATACTGAGCAAAGTGTTTAAAAAAATATATTTTATATTAAAAAAATCACATAAGGCATGACAGCGCTAATTTTTTTTGCCCTTAAAGTTTTCCAGATAATAACATATTCAAATATATTGATATATATCGTTAACGGGAAACATTTTCTTCCTCTTAACATCGCACAAAAACATCTACACACGATTAGTAGGTAAAAATCATTAAAAATATGAATCAATTTTTGCTGATTTAAAAATTTATTTGTGTGCCTATTGTTGTGATTCATTTTTACAGGTTGTCATAGAAACGACAAAAAAAACTACTATGATTATGGTTTAAAAGAATTGTCTAACAAGAGTTTATAATTATTATTGACTATCTCTGCCAAAGTTAAGATTGTAATTTTCAGAGAAAACACAATTATCGCTGTCATGTCTTATGTAATTTTTTGAATATAAAATAATTTTTTTTTAACTACTTTGCTGTGGATTACAGATTGGCACAGGTGCAATAATTTGGTAAAGTACAGTGTTGTTACATGTCTTTGGTGCATATTTGATCAGATGGCGGTCGTAATTTGCAGTGGGCTCTCTTACTATTACCAATTAAGCATTCCAACGACCTGTCAAACAATAGCTGTCAGTGGGAAGGTCTGGTATATCTAAGCGGGTAGAGACATAGTATTGCATCTTGAACGTTTTTTTTATTCGAAATAATAGTCACAAAGCCTGCCAATTTATGAAAAAATGTATCTTATTTTTATTGTGTTTGACATAAAATATTTAAATGTAATCCATTATTCATGATTTTACGTATTGTAAACAGAATACATCGTACGTCGCAACCCTTGGATATATCAAATCTTCCCACTGGCAGTTCATTTGTTTGGAATGACTAATACAATATATGACAACCGCTTATATTCAAACAGCAGTCTTCTGCGCATCCTGAATTTGTATCCCTGGAGTGGATGTTATTTTGGAACATCCAATTAGTCCAAGTGAGCGAACTGATTCTTTTAAGCTATAAACTGTGACTAAACACAACTTGAACTGACTTTGACAGATAACATCATTTTGAGTGATACACAACTTATTTTCACACATGCACGTTACAAAACGCTTCTCCTGATCGTTATTCTCGGATATTATACCTTTTTACAATTACATATTATACAGTTATTAACATTTTTATTTAAAAATTTATTGCTGGGATCTACGAACCAAAACTTGAAACCCTATAAAACAGCATATGCGCCTGCCTTGAAGTTGAAAAGAGACAAGTAATTGTCGACGCCCAACTTATAAAAACGCCTAGGCCTGCGAAGTATTAGCATCACAGTTCTGTGAAAATAAAAACTCAAACAAAAGGTTAGGCTTAAAGTTGTTTACGTTTTTTAATTATTTTGCCTCGTGTTTCGGTGTAAGAATTTTTAAAATATTCTTTTTTTGACTATCAAATGGATATGTCAAGGAATATATCTCTTATTCGGTTAATTTAAAAATCAAAAATATGAAAAAATAGTTTATGTTTAAAACTCCAAAAAAATTTCCAATGCGGACTAGGGGCGGCTTTGCCTCAGGCACTATCCACCACAATTTGACCCGCGGCTAAAATAACTCGTTGTTTTTTTTCTGAGCTTTTTTGACTCTGCAATAACACTACAGGCTATTATATTTATGGTTTATTTACCCATCTTAGTTTGTAGTACTCACTCTTTCACCATTGTACTGATTATTTTTTATTTTTATGTTTTAGTTTCTAAATTTACAGACAATATAAACATGAACTTCATAAGTAGCACAACGAAGCTCTATGGCGAAGCTTACGAAACCACCGAAGCCTTACTTTCAGATCCAACCTTTCAACTTTTGTTACAATCTGGTCAAAAGTACGATCTAATCATAGCGGAATACTTTATGAACGAAGCCTTATTCGGACTATCATCACATTTTAATGCTCCAATAATACTGTTATCACCTTTACCGACTTCGTCTTTGATGAACGAATTATTTGCTAATCCAGCTCCGTCAGCTTTTATTCCGAATATTCTATCAGGGCACACGGGTATCATGGGTTTTGGAGGAAGACTTCACAATTTCTTCTGCAACGTCTTCAATAAACACTACAAGTATTACGTTGCTCTACCAAAACAAGAAAAACTGTTAAATAAATACATTAATAGAGGTGCCAGTATACATGAGGCTATCGAAGATATAAGTTTGGTACTACTAAACTCACATTCTAGCATCACAGAACCGGTACCACACACTCCTAATATGGTTGAAATCGGTGGAATGCATATACAATCCCCCAAACCGTTACCAGAAGATCTGGATCATTTTTTACGCAAAGCTAGTGGTGTGGTGTATTTCGCGCTTAATTCCGCTTTGAAGAGTTCCGTGTTGGGAAGAGACAAAGTTGTTGATATTCTAAGAGGATTTCGGATGTTTGCAAAATTAAGCGTTGTTTGGAATTTGGATGTCGATGAAGATATTGGGGAAGTTCCCGAAAATGTCATGATTGTTGGGGAGATTTCTCATCAGGATATTCTTGGTAAGTAAATATTTAATATGTAATGTCTTGGGGGTGAATAACAACACACAAATACCCTAAGAGTTACTTTTATTGCCCACAATACAGCTTACGTACGATACAACTTAACGGCCATCATGATAAAGAGAACTGACAAGGAGGCGTATAGCGTACGCTCCACAAAATCGTAACATTTATTACAGTAGGTGCTACTTGTATGCAATACAACATACACAAATTTATGTTGTGTGTGCTGTCCAACCTTTACAACTATATAATAGTATTAACAAACAACAGACATCACATAATACAATATGAGCTTTTGTTTGGGTGGATGGCTTTGGCAGGGGCCAATTATCCAGAGTTATGTTTGTTTTTATTTAGCTGCTATTTTCTTTTGTTTTATGAATTATAAATTCGATGGCGTTCCCTTTCTTTTAAGTGTCTCGTAGTAAATATGTGTTTTTGTTTATGACAATAATGTCATCATTGACTAACCCTTTCTCTTCTAATTGAAAATGGCATTAAAAACACATAATCTTTTATAACCTTTCAAATAGATTTATATGTATATTTCACACCTGCATTAATTTTAACCAGGAGATCGTTTTCATTTGGGCGAACAATTTAAAGTAAATGTGTTTAAAAACCTATTATATGGGTGGTCAGATGAAGCCAATAGTTCAAAATTAGAAAGCCAAAGTTAGGAGCCAAAATATATTATAAACATGTATAACTCGTCTCTAAGTCACACAATGAAAGGCTTTTCAGGACTCGTAAATAGTGGTCTTGGAACCAAATTAAAACGGGCTTGAACAAATTAGAGTGATAAATAAAGTTAAGATCATTGAGGGGTGGAAGTAACTTTAGTTCGCGTAGGTTCATGATCATTTGCACCAATCAATCAATAAAATGTTCACTGGTGGAAACGGTGCAAAAAGCCACTTGATTGTAACAAGTTTGTTAAATAATATTAAACATGACCGTGTTTAGCTAATGTGAGCAATGGTGTGAATGTACTGAACAAGATGGAGTGAGTATCATCTTGTTCAGTATTGTGTGTACGATCATGTACGTAAGATCCGAAGTAAGGTCGACCTTCACCCATCTGTTTAATGGATGAAAGTTTCTTTTTAGTAAATAAAATATGTTTATAAGTATACCGCAAAAGGGTTGCATAAAAAAATATGGTCCAGACTGTTTTTTTTTTCTTAAAATAAAAAAAAACAACACCCTGTAAAGTATTCCCCAGATGCTTCAACTATGCCCAAACTTTAATTAGCTCACCGCAGGATAGATTAAAGCTTTAGTTTAAAATTTGGTGTTTTTCTCTTTATCCGTTTTTGAGTTGTCTTCAAAATTTGAAATTTGCACTTTTCCTCAAATATCTCGAAATAGGTCCATTTTAGGGAAATCATGTATAGGGACAAAATAATAGAGAATGACATCATAAGCAACTTTTATCATGATTTATATACTTTCCTTACCTGTACACAGAAAGGAAAGCAAAAAATGGCCGTGACAGTATTTTTTTAGGCAACCCATTTGCGGTATATTTAAAAACATACGTTATCTAATAAAAAATCTTTTATCCATTAAGCAGATGGGTGAAGGTCGACCCTACTTACGGATCCTGGACTAATTGCAAAACATTCAGAAGAACGTTTTTGTGTTTAGCAATTCTATACGGTTTTCTTACAGTTCTAATTATTGTTTAAATTAACCGGTGTGAAGTTAGCAGTAACTTTTAGCAGAGAAAATAACCGAAAACGCCCGATGAGAAAAACAGTGACGTCCAGCATACAACTATTTTAATAATCTTGTCAATATGTATTTTATACATTAATATCGACAAATAACTAATATACGGTTGAAAACAACCCTAAAAATTAATAAAAATATTTATCCTAGGAAGGAAATCAAATCGCAATTTAATTTTACATTTAAAAAATCATAAATACGCTATAGGTAAACATTTCTTCGGGTCCGTTGAACAGGATAAAATTACCCCATAAAATTCATAAAATAATTATCATATTAAGTGTATTAAACAGGGTGAATTTAACCCTTAAACTTCAAAATAAATATTAATCCTATGAAGTCGACCAGATCCCAACTTGGTTTTATATTGCAAAAATCATTAACACACTTACTAAAATACGCTATAAGAAACAATCCCTTCGGACCCGTCAAACAGGGTGAAATTATCCCTTAAACTTTAAAATAAATAAATACTTAATGAAGACGATCAGATTTCAACTTGGTTTTACATTAAAAAAAAAACATAAATACACTCATCAAAGTACACTCACTGTAAGCAAAAATCTCTTCCGACCCGTCAAACAGGGTGAAATGAACTCTTCAACAATAAAATAAATAATTACCCTATGTAAACGATTAAATCCCAACTTGATTTTAAATTTACAAAATCAAAAATACCCTCACCAAAGTACAATGTAAGCGAAATTCCCTTCCGACCCGTCAAACAGGACGAATTACTTCTTTTGTATTTCTATAATTTCTTAAAAATTGAACTCTTGATTATCTTTTTTCCTTCATTCTTTTAATACAGTTCACAATGATGCAATATAGCCATTAAACATTTGCTTCGCAGTCAACTTTTCTCTCAAAGGTTCCAAAGTTAGACGTTGAACTGCAAATAAGTATGTATGTATACCATTTTAAATTCCACTCGTATCCAGTGTTATTGTATTAGTAATTCTTTGTTTATATGAAAGCTTTTTAATTAGCGATTTTAAACATTCATTATTCTTGACTGCTTGCGAAATACTACTAACAGTAGAAATATTTAGGTTTAGTGTTGCTGCAACACGCTAAAACAGACAAGAAATCAATTTCATATTTCTATAAATTTCTAATAATTTTTAACTTATGTTTCATAGGTACGCACTTAACAGAGTCGAAGATAATAGTTATGAATTATTCATCACGCTCTCGTTCAAAATAGTGTATTAACGAAGCTACAGGCTACAGGTTAACCCTTAAACTTCAAAATAAACAATTACCCAATGAAGACGATCAGATCCCAACTTGGTTTTAGATTAAAAAAAGCATAAATACACGCATCAAATTACACTGTAAGCGAAAATTTCTTCCGACCTGTCAAACAGGGTGAAATTAACTCTTAAACTTTAAAATAAATAATTACCCTATGAAGACAATCATATCCCAACTTGGTTTTAGATTAAAAAAAATATAAATACACTCATCAAAGTACACTGTATGCAAAACTCTCTTCCGACTTTATATTTATACTACAAACAAGGAAACAATTCTCGCCTATTATTCAAACCTTCTCCTTTAGTTTTTCTATGGGCATGACACCATGCTTTTATTTTCTTAATTTTACAAGATATGGTGTTATAAAGAACACAGGTATCATTGCTGTGCCATAAAATCGTAGTATCATCAGTGAAAGTATTTGCAAAGTTGAGTTAAGTCATTTATTGTATAAAGACGGAATAAAATGGGATTCAACACAGAACCCTGAGGACTCCCCAACTAGAGATTCCTTAGTAGCGCTTACTATTTGCTTACGTTCTGAAAGATAAGATTGTATCAGCGCTTCGTCTTTGTTTCCGTAAACTGCAACAATACTGCAGGAGTCAAATAACAGAATATCTTCGCTACATCTTCGTAAAAATTAATTTTAGTTTAAGACAAAATATCGTAATCAGATCGTAATAAGAAATAGGCAGGCGGAGGAGACGATCCAGTCCTGATATTTGATATAGGCAACCAATAATACATATGTGTAATTTTCTATGGATGTTCTCCAAAAACTCAGTAATGCGCATGCGCTGTAGTCAGAGATAACAGAGATATAACGATTTATTAATAAAATATAATATTCACGATGCCAAGATTAAGTCAACAATCCATACATTCTATTTGTAGGTCCACGGCGAGAAGATAAAAGGTGATAACTAAGAGAGGGGATAAAGACAAGGTTTTTGCGAAGAAAGAACTTTATTTTATCAATGACTAAATGTGTAAGCGATGTGCGCTTATGATAAACCAAGTAACAGTGTAAGCTCTGTTGCCACTTCCAACTTACGATTACTAGGTTTTGGAATTTATTGAAAATTATTACATTTAATTTAGTGAAACTACAGCTAATTTAGTTAAATTTGATGGTTTTATTTGCAATAAAATAGGTTGAATTGTTTTAGCTTTTTTAATATATGTAAATAACTTTCTAAACCAAACGAGAATAATGAAATAGGCATAGGACAACAGCGTATATTATACCCTCCTGTGTCCCTTAGAATATGTCTTATTCAGGACCGCACGATATTTGTTGGTAGTTACATCTCCTGTTATCTCTGGTTGTAGTGCTGCTAAACATCGCCGAGTCGTGCCATTTTTGATAAAGTCGGCAGGATAATGTAGCGTTCCACTGGTGAGGAGTTCAGTATGGTAGTTTCACACTTTCATTAGCATCTGACGTAAAATTAACTGGATTTATTGAGGATGTTCTATTCCGTTGGCGTTATTTTGAGATACGGCCATTTATTGATTTTCTAGGCTAGTCTTTAAATAATGGAGACAGTTTAAAACGTTACTATTTATTCAACAATATCAATGTTGTATCCATGTTATTAATATTTTTTTTTTGTTATTTTCAGCCCAAGAGAACGTAGTGGCTTTCATAACTGACGGCAATTTATTAAGAATATTTGAAGCTGTATATTATAAGAAACCAATTGTTGGTGTTCCTCTGATTGAAGACCAAAAATCAAATATCGCTAGAGCCGTTCAAGATGGATACGGTGTAGAACTGCCGTTTGCCGAAATGTCCGGTTATAGATTGTTTGAATCCATTATGGAAGTTTTGAAAAATGGACGGTAATTACATTTTTAATAATATTATTGCTCTATATGTGCCTAGATCGCAGGAAAATGTGTAATGTGTACCCATTGATTCAAAATAGAGCTTTATAATCTGTATAACCTGTATAATCTAAACATTCTTAACAATTAATTTTAATTTGTTTTTGTTTTTTAGATATTCGTTTAACGTACGTCAGAAATCAAAATTACTGAAAGATCAACTCGTTTCACCATTGAAAACCGCCGTTTTTTGGACAGAATACGTCATCCGACACGGAGGTGCCAGACATTTCCAGTCGCCGGGAGTTTATCTTCCAATATTCAAAAGACACTTGATTGATATTATTATTGTTCTCACCATTATCGACATTATTCTATTTCTGATATTTTATTATATTTTCAAGCACATTATTCACCTTGCGAAGAGAAAGTACAAGGAGAGGAAAAATAGAAGTTATCAACAAATGGATAGAGATAACGATAAAGAGTGATATTTTCATTAGTTATATAGTTTTATGCAAGAGCTTTCGCGAATTTTTATTAACTGTATTGTTAATAAAATTGTTTTTAGAAGCACAATTGATAGTGACTGTATTTAAAAAACACCTAATCAGTTTGATCTAATCTGATATTTTTTGTGATAAACATAAGTATAGTTTTTATTTCAAACAACTGACTTACTAGCTATAGTATAAAAAATATATTTAAGTAGATTGCTGTTAATATTTTAATAATAAACCATGTATACATTATTTTTTGTTTTTATTATTACCTTAAATGTATGTAGACTGCTGCACACTTTGAGGTATTTTTCGCGGCATAAACCAATATAAACAGTTACGATAGATAGTGTTATTTAGACATGTCTGATTGGTCTAAATAACTACTGAGGTATTGGAGTTTTAAACTTCTTGTTTCACTTTTTTAAGTAAGTTCTTATACGATTTGTCTACAGTTTTAAGTATCAGTGTGTCTGAGTCGTTTTGAGTCTATTGCCTTGTCTATACCTGTTTCTTTGTTATATTAACTTGGAAAGCAATAACCAAACAGAGTTTTCAAACATCGTTTAATTGAACTTTTGTAAAACAGTACAATATCAAAAAGAAAAATCTGATGTGTCCAACACATAACTTTCCTATCTAGTTATTATAGGCTTTTTTCGGTTATTTTGTACAACCTATTGCAGCACCTCTATAAATGTTTAGAGGATAAACTAAATATATACATTTTCCAGATACATCTAGCTCGAAACATTTTTCTATAGATATTCATTGAAAACAAAAATACTGAAAAATTTAAATTTAGCACTTTGCCTCCAATTTTTCCATTACGGTCCATTTCAGAAAAATCATGTACAAACAAAAATTATATCGATATCGCAAACAACTTTTAGTTCAACAATTTTCTAAAAAATCAGAATTTTGCACATTTTGTCAAATTTCTCGAATATGGACCATTTCAGGAAAATTTGACATGAAGCAAAAATTATAGATAATAATATTAGAAGTAACTTTTATTTGAACAATTTTCTTCTCCAAACATAAATAACAGATATATTCCATAAAATATAAAAACGGCCTACCATAAAGTACCCCCCCCCCCAGATGTTCCGACTTTGTTCAAAATCTAATCATTTCACGTCAGGCTGAAATAAAACTTAAGTTTAAAATTTAATATTTTTTTCTTTATCCGTTTTTGGGTTTTCTTCAAAATTCGAAATTTACACATTTTCTCAAATATCTCGAATACGGTCCATTTTAGAGAAATTATGTATGTGTTAAAAATTATAGAAAATTATATTACAAACAAATGTTATTTGAACAATTTTTATAAAAAATTTTTTTTTTTGCATTTTGTCAAATTTCTCGAATACGGGCCATTTTAGGAAAATTTTGTATAGATCAAAAAATATTGATAATAATATTTGAAGAATTTTCTTTTGAAAACGTAAATAACAGATATATTCCATAAAATGATCACTTATAAAGTACCCCCCCAGATGTTCCGACTCTGCCCAAAATCTAATCAGTTCATTGGACGCCGGAATAAAGCTTAAGTTTAAAATTTGGTGTTTTTCTTTGTATCGGTTCATGAGTTATGGTGGATACAGACACAAACACACACAGACATCGTCGCGAAAATAGTCAAAACGGATTCAGGGGACATCAAAACGTAAAAATCCGTCGAAAACTCGAGGTCGAAAAAAATCGTGATTCCTATACTTTCCTTATCTGTATACAGATAGGAAAGTAAAAAGGACAAAGTCAAAATTACAACGTTACATCAAAATCAAAAAACATAGTATGTGTACAACTATATACTGGGTGACCAAGATGATATTTTGCTATTTTAAACATTTCTTCCCGAAAATTCATCTAATTTTTACATCTTTCATACACCCATCATACTTCTTAGTTTAACAAACTGAACGTGCGGTAAAGTTTTAGTCATATGTGCCACTTGACTAGCACTGAAAGTATATTCAACTTGCATAAAACTTGTCTCTCATAAAATGATATCGAATTTCAATATGCTTGGACTTTTTTGAAATTCGGGGTTTTTTACAAGGTTAATCTAACTCATATTGTCAATGTACAAAACTGGTTTCTTTTGAAGTTCTGTTATTTCTTCTAATAACATATTTAACCAAATTAGATCTTTGGTTGCCTCACTGGCTGCAACATATTCAGCTTCCGTGGTTGAGAGTACGACACTTCTTTGTTTTTGACTAAGCCACGTGATAGCAGAAGCTGAGTACATGCTTACAACTCCAGTTCTGGACTTTCGGGTTGCAACGTCTCCAGTATAATCAGCATCACTGAAGACACTTAAGTTGCTATCAGTACCGGAAGGAAAAACGTTTTCACAAAATATTTCTGTGATTTACAAAACATTTCGGGGAACAAATTTCGCTAAATAATGCTAGCTTTTGGCAATTTGATACAATTTGAAATAATGGTTGTGTTTTAGAAAAAAAATTGAATTACAAGGTTTTGATAAAAATCTTTAAAGTTTATTTATACGAGGTTTTGTAATGGGAAAAGTAAATTATAAACAGCAATAACAACAAGAACTAATATTTATTTGCAAAAATTTTCCAAAAAGCCCTTAGCTTAAACCAGGTACTTGCACAAATTAACTAGTACCACATAAAAGTTTCTAGAAAACAAAACACTGTTTATTTGCAAAAAATTATCAAAAACTATTAACTAGGAACTTCAACAAAATAAACTAGTGGTACAGACAAATTGCCAAGAAAATTTCAGAGGGACCAAAAACATAAATTTGTCAAAACTCTAATAAATAAATAAACAGATACGCTAATGAAATAGTGGACCAAACATTTTAAATAATCTTAAAAACTATTTGCAAAAAATCTGTTTCACATAAAAAATACAAACTTTTTAACTTCAATCATGCGAAAGATTTTCGTAAAATTGCCTGTAATCCTCAGGTGTGAAGTTTTTTAATTCCTGTAGGTGTTTGAACTTATCAATCTTAATCTTGAGTGGTTCCTGGTATAGCTGGGGAACCATGAGGTTATCTTGATGTTTTTTTTCTCCTTGGAAGTTTCTCAAAGCTGTCATCATAATTTACTTTATATTCAACAGAGCCATTTAACCTATATGTTCAAGTCAATATCACGGCATAAGAAACAATCGGCAGGCTCACTTACCGCTGATCGCATACAAATATTATACTAAGAAAATTTGACCTTGGCGACGCCATTTGGGGGTCTTAGTCAGGGTCGGAGTAAAGCGTATTTAAAGATTTTGTAATAAAATAAGGTATTGATAGACAGGACCGTATTAAAACAAAAAAGTAAAAATTTACATAAAATATATTTTAATTTAACTTATAAAAATAGCATTAAGAAAGACAATATGCTCTACAGATTGCGCCAAATAATTAGCTTGTTTTTATTGATGGTCTTCAAATTTCTATTAATATTTTTAAAGTGTAATATATGAGTAGCCTTAAATATACGTTAATAACATATATTTCTGGAAATTGGGGACAAGGAGCGTCAAATGTTATCTCGGAATTAATTAAATCTAAAAAAAAATACAAACGCTGGATTTAGTGATAAATAATTTAACATTTTGTGGAAAAATTATTTCAATTTTTGTTATTAAACATACAAAACTATTATTTGACATTTTTAAATTGCCAAAAATATCTTCATTTGCTTTTTTTGTATAGTTTATAATAATACATGGAGCTTGTATCCAAGTCTTCGTATGGTAAGGCATATTGTGTACATACGTCGCAACTGTGAATTTTAAGACATTTTTTTATTAAAAAATCCGCATATATAATAAAATTTTCTTAAAAAATAATAATATTTTGTGCATGCAATTCATTAATATGCTTGTTTATATTTACATTTTCGACAATATTGCCACCATTACACGCGATTTTGGAAAATGGCTCATCCTTACTAGTCCTACGAATTTCATGCAGCCTTACAAGTAAAGCATCCCCACCTGTTTCGCAGTTTTCAGTTCCAGAATATAATAAATTTAAACATTGCAATTTTTTGAACGTCCTTTGAAATTGGACCGATGTAGGGTTTACACAGTTACCATCATGGAGGAAGGATAATTAAGAGTTGCAGATTCCTCACAGAACTTTGGCAGCATGTTTACCTTCAGCGACATATGGAATAGTTTTGTGAAATTAATACTCAGTCGGCAATATAGAAAGATGTAATGCTATTTTAGTTTGAAAATTGGCGGGCTTTTGAATTTACTTCGATAAAATATAAGAATTTTACATTTTTATTAGCATTTTTTTAATACGCATCTCAGGCGCATTAAAAAATGCAAATAAAAATGTAAAATTTTATGTTAAATAATTTTAGAAGTGTAAAATCAATAATACAAAATTGTAACAACTAAATATTATTTGTAGAATCTCTATTGGTTACAATAATAAACATAATATACATTTTCTGAATAAACAACTATATTAAATAACATAACTACTAATTTTTAATTTACTACTTATAATTTCTTTAATGGCTAATTAAGATTTTCTTGCTTTTTGTAATCAAAATACTTTAGATTTATCAAAATTATAAAGCTTTGTTATTCGCATATCTAGAATAATTATTATCAAAATGAATATCAAAATAAAAGTTTTGTTAAGCATTTCAATATTTGGGAATAATACAATTACGATTAATATTCATTTTTTTCTGAAAAAAAAAGTAATTCCTTACAAAAATTCTGCTTGTTGAAAAAAATTACAAGAAAAAGTTTCCTTTTAAAGTTATGAAGGAAAACCGACAGGAAAATTGTGACTTTTCTTCGTAAAATCAATAGGTAATACAGATTTTTGTCAATTTCAAGTTTCTACATTTATTAAGACTCTTGTATACCTGACCTAACATATTAATATAGTAAACCTATTTTTTCGTCAAAGAGAATTTTTTTATAATGACTTTTTCCTTAACATAAAAATACAGATTTTTCCATTTTGTCAACTCCATACAGGAGATGTTTAAAATATAACATTTTACTTTAAATCTTAATAATATACCTACATAAGTAAATATAAATTGACGCTAAACTTTACGTGACGTTAACTAGGCACCTACCTACATCTTACTAATAGGTTTATAACTGACAAACTG